TAGATCTACAGGCCTTAAAAATATATTTGTTACCTATACTAGTGAAATTAATAAATGAAATCTTAACCAGTGGTGTCTTTCCGGAATGTCTTAAGATCACAAAGGTTATCCCAATTCATAAGGCGGGTGTGCAGTCTGATCCAGGAAATAAAAGACCAATCGCTTTCATATCCACTTTCTCAAAGATTGTTGAAAAGGTAATCAAGAAGCGAATAGTGGACTTTGTAGAAAATACTTTTAAATTTGATGTCCAACAATATGGCTTCCAGAAGTCCAGCAATACACATATAGCTGCTGTGGACCTGATTGACTATATATCACAAGCACTAGATGAAAATAACTTTGCACTTGCAGTTTTTATTGACCTCCAGAAGGCCTTTGACACCGTCAATCACCAAATACTATTAAATAAACTATCTAACATGGGAGTTCGAGGAGTTGCTCACAGTCTAATTAGGTCATACTTGTCAAATAGATATCAACATACCATGGTAAATGAAAAAACCAGCTCCACAAAATTGTCCACCATTGGAGTTCCACAAGGTTCGGTTCTGGGGCCCTTACTTTATCTGCTTTATGTGCACAGTTTAAGCAAAGCCAATTTAAAAGGCAACTACATAACTTTCGCAGATGACACAGTGTTGCTTTTTCAAGGCAAATGTTTGAAGAGGATTGAAACTGAAGTAAACAATTGTGTCGAAACTTATTATATGTGGCTACTTAAAAACAATCTTAAAATAAATGTCAAAAAGACTGTTTATATGATTTTCAGACAAAAAAACAAAATGGGCCCAAATATTGAAATTAAACTGAATAAAATCATCTTAGAAAAGGTGCAAGCTTATAAGTACTTGGGTCTAACAGTGGACGAGGATCTGTCATTCAAATTTCACATCGAAAAACTACAGAAAAAACTTTCCAGTGCTTGTGGTGCAATGAGAAAATGTGCAAATTTTCTTCCTAACCCTATCAAACTCTCCGTGTATGAATCCCTATTCAAATCACATGTGCAATATATGAGTACCTTATGGGCAGCTGCTTCAAACACAATAATCCAAAAACTACAAAGACTTCAAAACCGTGTTATAAAGTGCCTCTATAACCTTCCAAGACTTTACCATACCAGTGAGCTATACAAAAATTATAAATTCCTAAAAATAGAGCAGATAATTAAGCTGGAAGAATGTAAACTAATGGAGAAAATTCTAAATGGACAAATAAAATCTAAAATAGTGCTCAAGAAAAACTGCGACCTGCATAACCATCTAACTAGAAACTGTAACCAAATGTATATTCCAAGATCCAGGACAGATGTAGGGAAGAATAGTATAATTCTCTGCTTTGGGCTCCTACAATTCCTTACCAACGGAAATTTCAAGAATATCCAGCCCTGCTTTATTTGCAAAAAAGGTTAAATTATTCTTAATGTCACAAAATGTATAGAATCAATTAATTGGGTACCTAAATTCAATTTGCTTATTGTTTGGTTTTTTGTTTGTTTTTTTTTTATATGGAGAGATCAGGCGCAATTTTATGGTTTGTGGACCTCTTTGGTTTATGTTATTGTTATTATTATTATTTTTTTTTTATATATATATATATATATATATATATATATATATATATATATATATATAAAAGGTGAATACCTGCTTGTTTTTTCTTTTTGGAAATTTGTTTAGTCAAATATTTAGTTAGGTATACCTTATGTAATTTGAATTATTTATGTTTGGGCAAGAATATTATTGTTATTACTTATTGCACCGACTGAAACCTACAACTGTGAATTAAATTAATTAGTTTAGGACTTGTTACCAGTATGCCAATGTACTGTTTAAAGTTCAAAAATAAAGACTTGTTAAAAAAAAAAAAAAAAAAAAAACATTCCCCAAACCCATATCTAGGTTTCTTTTTAATCCAGAGCAATAAAAAGAGACAGACTACAATGTTAAAATATTTTTACCGCCAAAAATCCATAAGTTGACACTAGTGTCACCATTTGGATCACCCCTCGATTTGGGCTTCAATAGTTGACACCCCCCCTTAAAAAGTTTATGCCAGTTGTTTAAGAGATAAAACAATAATAAATATGTATTACAATGTATCTTATTATACAGTAAATATACAGGGTGTCCCAGAATATGTGGGCAATCTCTCGGATTCAGATAGAACACAAAAAAATAACATGACAACTTCCTATAAAAAAAAATTCCTACGACCCCCCCTACAAAGTTACGTGCCCCTAAAGGACGCCTCTGAAAATCGGTTTTTTGTTGATAACTTTCAAAATACTTCGTGTAATGTTTTTTCTTCTAATATGATGGATACTAAAATGGACCCTCTCAAACACACAGATTAGAAGGATCTCATGTTGAGTCTACATAAAAAATTATTTAATAAAAAACCATTAATACACAAAAACAGATTTTTCTGGAAACCAGCTCATTTTTTTGACATCGAATAAGAGTACCTTTTTTCTAGTTCAAGGTTGAAACAATCTAAAAATATTATTGCTATGCCTATATCATACAGGGTGTAAAAAAAATTAGCATTATTGTGTTAGAGCTAGTCCGTCCCTGGCAAACTAGATTGGCCAAGTGTGTTTGAAAGGGTCCATTTTAAGAGGTCTTATCTAGTATCCATCATATTAAAAGAAAAAAAAATTACACGAAGTATTTTGAAAGTTATCAACAAAAAACTGATTTTCAGAGGCGTCCTTTAGGGGCACGTAACTTTGTAGGGGGGGCCGTAGGAATTTTTTTTTATAGGAAGTTTTCATGTTATTTTTTTGTGTTCTATCTGAATCCGAGAGATTGCCCACATATTCTGGGACACCCTGTATATTATTCATAATTTATCAACCCTACCTTAGCTTTGAGAACTTTTGTTTTTATATCCTCTTAACTATTTTCACTAGAAATCTGGGGGAAAATTCAAACATTTCCACCTGTTCACTACTTCTTGCCACAATTTTGAAAAAACTTGTCATTTCAAATCCATACATCAGCTATAGCCTGAAAGATGGCTCCAACAATACTATAAGCTATTTCAGTTAGCTTATAACCTACATAAATTCTTATTTTCGGGAATAATATGCTAATGTGTCAACTTTTGGGACCCTGTCAACAACTGGGTACTTTACCTTAATATTACGTTTCTTACACATGTATTAAAACACAAAAAAAATCAAAAAGATACGTTGCAAAAAAGATTGTAATATGAGTTTGCTTTTGGCGATTTCAAAAAATATTTGCTGTAGATAAATTTCTATTTCTAATATTTGCTGTAGATAAATTTCTATTTCTAGTGGACTCAATCTCTTTTATGCCTGCAAATCTCACAATTTTGTTTCTATAGAATGCTTCATACTCATACTAACATAGCAGATGATGAAAAATGTTTCAAACGTGCTAAGAACAGCAAACAAAAATACCCTTCTGTTTTTTGTTTGAAACCTAATTTTAATAAGTTAAAAATATGTTTTAAATTTTAAAAAAAAAACAGTTCTAAACAATACAATAGTGCTCGGTTTAAACATAAGAGAAACATTTTTTCCAAACCGGATATAGGCAAACTTAAGCTAATGAATGATAAGCAGGTATGTATACCTAAATCCACTCTAAACCTCTATGTGAAGGTTTTACTTTATTTAATCCCTCATCAATTCATCATCAGATAAACTTGCTGGTAACTATCCTGCAAGATAAATTTACCGATCTATAATCCTGTTGGTCGGCGGATAACTGGCCGACCAATGTGATTACAGATTGCGTTTTTATCTGTCAGATTACATTACCTGACAGTTTATCAGAAGGGAAATAAACTGGCCCTAAGGCACGGTTTGTGTTCTGATAAACTGTCAGGTAATTGAATCTGAAGGATAAATACACATTTTATAATCCTATTGTTCGGCCATATAGCTAATTTGATGTATTTGTCTTGTTGACAGGTACCAGCAAATTAATCAGAAGATGAATACACAGGGCCTAAATAAAATTAATGCAGGCCAAGATAAATTTATCTGCATTAAAATATCGGTTTTTTATAGCTTAAAAAATATTAAAAATAAATGAATACATGGCACATAGGTACATATTATGTATATTGTATATTTTGGACAAAACTGAAGTTATATTGAAAAATATATACCTAATCATCTTTGGAAAAAGAATATATCTTGTATAATTTGTCTGAGAAATTGTCCTTGCCTAAATATATCTCACTTTCAGATTCCCAATAAATATATGAATTATTTAGGATCCAAATACCTAGTAGGAAACATTTACAGTAGAACCATGAGTATCCTTGCCAATCTATAGACCCAAAGACCCTGATTATAGCTTCTAAAATTACATGTACAGTTGCGATCAAAAAAAAAGAAGTACAAGAAAAATCTCTAAAATCTACAGGGGTTGGATTCTCCAAAAAAAGGTTACTGGAATATCAAACTGCTCACTTTTTAGTCATCAATGCAGTAGGTTAGAATAAATACCAAGCTGTTATACAAAGTAATATCATTATTACAGCTTGTTAAGTATGGAAATTAGTAAATGTCTCAATTTATTTTGGGTGAAGGGTAAAAGGGTAGTAGAAAACAAATGTTTGCTTTCACAGTATAGGCGTTGGGGAAATATTTCTCAGATATGGGTATTCCATTAATACTTAGTTTAATGAAACAAATTGAAGCATCATACATAGATAAGGATTTCTAATCAGAAACCACAGGGCAAATGAAATAATCAGAGGTTATGAGCTCTTTTTGATAGTAATGAAAAACAGCATACATATCATTTTCTATAAGACGAATATCGATAATCACTTGAGTAATTACTACAACTTATTGTCAAAGAAAAAATAAGAGATAAGGGAAGTCTGGAGAGAAGACAGTAACTGGCAGCCTTGTAACAGGCTTAAATCCTGAATGTTTTGCTAGGACAGAGTAAAGGCTATTATTATTATGTAACTATAGGTGAAGGATTCCTATCTAACTAAATAATTACCTGAATGTGATCGACAACTAATCTGTCAACATCTAAACCACTGTAGTCAGCATTGCTCTCAGCATTTCTTAGAAGTTGCAGAAGGAATTCAGCAGATTTCTTTGGCCAACGACCTTGAGTGGTGCCAAACTGTTTCGCTTGAGAACAACGGCCCACGCCTCCATTGAATCTTCTGAATGGGATACATTCCTGCATGCCTACAACGTTTTTGAGATAGGCTTGTGCCCTTTTGAGGGGCATTTTCCGGATGGCATTAGCTGTTTCACAAGTGTTCTAGAAATAAATAAAATACTCGATAAAATAGGAAGTTAAAATAAATACATTTTTAAACTAATTTTTTTTAGGTTGGATTAGAATAATTATCGAAAATTAACCAATAAATTCCATATAAAAAATGCTTGGATGGTTGGAGATCGGGAATCGGAAGACGTAGAACGTTATAAACCGATATTTATATATACATGTAATTATCAATAATTATTTAAAAAAAAATGTTTAGTGATCCAAGATCATGCATCAAGAAGGAATTTAACCATTCACATTTTTTTTTTTAGTTTCTAACCAAACCTTAAGCTCATATTTGAGTTTTAATATAGTGATATGCTTGCAATGGTTACTGTGGTCTGTTCGGTTGTATATTAAAAGCCTGTCTTCATTTTCCAGGGTATGTTCCCCCAGTCCATTATGAAATTAGTTTCGTTTTGGAATCTATCTAATTTTGGGAGGTTTGAATTAAAGGAACCAAGTCTGAGTCTAGTTTAACTTTCGATATAGTTTAATCCCAGTATTTCTAATTTTTGACACATAAAGCAGGCATAATGAGACCCTTTACGACGAGCACATTAAGTTCTTACATGTAGTGAAGGGCTAATAGAACAATACATATATAATAAAAAATCCACATAAACAAACACCTATGGGTTTACTTACTTTAAAGTGGACTCTCAAGTTTGAGCCACGGGCCTTACAGGATTTAGCGGCATTATCAGGTTCGCGAGCGTATCGTCCCATTTTATAATTTACCTACAAATAAGAAAAACACCGATTATTAACACTCTGCACCAACTTCTACTTTTACTTATAACTCAACAACTATCACCGATTCGTGAAAAATTTACACTAAAATCAATTTAGAAATATGCCAGATGATAAAATTGAAGCATTTTTTTCAATGATTGACTTCCATTTACGAGATAATTTTGGATTTTTTAATTATTTTTGTCGGCCATAGACATACCTTGAACACAGGCTACTAGAAAAGGAAGAAAAGAAAGATCTATCACGTGTGTCACAGCCAATAACCTAAACTAAAATGACATGAGACATGACGAGTGACGACTGATCCAGTGTTGCCATGGTTACCCAAGGATGATACACACTACTAAGGATGGCTTATCCTCATAAGGCCTGTGTGTAACAAATCCCCCCCTACCCCGCCTAGCCAAAAAATCAGTTGTGACGTAAACATCATGGCGTTTTTCGTCTTGACGTAGGCTGTTTGCACCACAGGTTATGTTATGATCTGGCTGCTGGCTGGAAATTATGGAACTAGTTTCTAGTATAATTAAAGTCTAAAATTATAAAATTATATCAGATACATATAATCATGACTTTTAATTATTACTGTTGTGTTCCTCAATGCAAGTCTTGGGCTAAAAAAAAAAGCTGACAAAGGATTGAGTTTCTACATATTTCCCCTTGAAACAGGCCCACGGGTTTATTTGGAAACGAAAATGGAAAAAGAAGTGTCGAGAAGAAAAGCCTTCTGGATTTTAAAACTTCGTATTGGCAAACCAGTCACCAAATTCATGAAAGTGTACTCTCTGCATCTCAATTAAGCAAGAATTTTGTGTTAAGGTAAACAAGCATAATGGATAGTTTTGTGCCTCAGCTTCATTTTAGGCCTGCTTCTAGGCATTTATCAAGTACTATCTATTTTTAAAATGTTTTGTTTGAAAATATTGACTGTTTTTATTATTTACAGGTGAGAGTACAGGTCTTAGGGCGGGTATTATAAAACTGCTTTGACAGTTAACTTAAAGTTAACTTTTTGAATTACATGTAATTCCAGAAGTTAACTTTAAGTTAACTCTCAAAGTAGTTTTATAATACCCACCCTTAGAGGTACAGGTAGAGGTCGGATATTGAAAAAAACAGTTGTACCATCCCAGAATTTGCCCTTTTCTATAGTGATCCATAAACCGAGCCAAAAAATAGATTCCATGGGTGCTGAAAAACTTGCCGAAAGAAAAAGAAATCAAGATTCTAGTGAGACTGATACAAGTAATGAATGTAGTTATACTTTTAATCAATTATTAAACTCTTCTCAGATAGGCATACAAATGGCCGAGCAAACAGCAGAACGTGTAAAGTGTTTATTGAATCCTAATTACCAGTATTATATTATAGGTACCGTCAATTGGGGTGACTTGATACATTTTTGAAATTCAATTGCCTGTAGTTTTGGAATGGATAGACCTAGGAAGTTCATATACCCCTCAAAAGTTTAGTCTCGATCTCTAGTTTATATAGTCAAAGTGCCAAATTGTCATAAATTTCAGTTTTGGTAAAAAAAAAATAAATGTTGGTGTACCAAGTCACCCCGTGGGTCGGGGTGATTTGATACACGTATTTATTTCTTCATAAATATCATTTCGTAAGCTTTAAAGGGTGACTTGATACACAAAAATATATTTTTTAAAAGGTTTAAGTTTGAAAAAAATACATTAAAAGGTTAATTTATGCAAAACTTATGAAAAATGAACGTTTATTCGAAAAAAGGGATTAGTTATCCCTTTATACATTAAAAAAAATACAATAAATGTTTTAACAAGACAAATATGACTATAAAACATCAAAAGAAAATTTAAAAAGTCCTCTTCTTTGCTTTTGTGGCATAGGTAAACGGTACTTCACTTCGAAAGGGTAAACAAAACTTGTGTCTTTAACATCAGGCCAAGTAAATGTATCTTTCGAAACTCTGTAAGGTCTCAAAAACGAAACTTCGACCGCCTTGTTGGCGCCATTGGATGAACCTGACACACTGATGACCTGAGCAAGTTTATCAGTGAGAAAGGTTTCCTCCTCTGCAGAAAGCGCTATTTGTCCCCCATACTTCTTTTGATTTTTCCCTTTCAAACAGCGATGGATTTTCATTTTGTCAACACTGTACTTTTCACTGGCTCCCCGTATACTTAACTTCCCGCTTCTAACATCTTCCAACGCCTTATTCAAATTTTCTACCGAATACGATGCATATCTGCGCGTTCCCGGACACTTCTTGTATTTTCTTGGCATTTTACCTGTGTATCAAGTCACCCCATCCTGGAACCAAATATGCTATTTTATTTGCAAAATAATTAATTTTTATTTTTTCACTTTGAAACTTTGTCATATTACTAACTAATATATAAGCTAACTTACCACCAAATTTCATGGAAATCAAACAAATACAACTGTAGCTACAGATCAAAGTTTACGAACCACCAGAAATACGACGTTGATTTGTTTTGATTTGAGCCTGTACTGAAGCACGTGTTTTAGCTTTGTGGCGCTAAAAATATTAGGGATCACTCACATATACTCGCTAGCGACAATCAATGACAAATAAACTGTCAACGACGACGGCTCTATATCTTATACATATTAACAAAGTAATACGTCAAATCGTATCATAACACCCCGGCGTATTAAGTCACCCCAATTGACGGTAGTTCGAGTAAAAATCAGATTTGTGGTCAAGTTATTTGACTTTGTTAATTTAATTTTCACCTATTTATAAATAAAAATAAAGAGTTATTTATAAAATGTTTATTTATTTATTACACATACAAGTTATTCAAATACAGACATTATAAGGGAGATCCATACCAGCCTTGAGACCCTTTTGGCAATGTCCTATTGTAGAAAGTTTACAAAAATATAAGAAAAAGATCCGGTTAGGCTGTTGTATAGATATAATCATTTCGGGTCAGATAAACGAAATAGATTATAATGAATTTTGGCCTGCATCATCACGAGCAGCATTATGGGTGAAAATTATTACCCAGTGTGAAACTTTCGAGAACAGTGAATAAATAAGTCGATATTGCATTTGCAGCACATTGTTCTTCCTCGGCTGCTACAGTTTTGACCACCACATCGTTTTTTTTACGTTCAGGAAAAGTGTTTCAATAATGATGCAGTCCATAATACCTAATATCATTATTGACTCAAAAATCACTTGCTGCAGCCCGAAGCATATTCTCCTGTAGCGCAAGGTGGTACGTTATATTTCCTCGGGTATGTCTGAAAATAAAAATAAGGTTAAAATTGTATGATTTCCCAAAAAATTGTTAATTCTACTCTACCTGTGATATATTTCCCATTCGAATAAACAATTTCTGCACTAGCACAAAAGTTGCCTAGTAGATAAGTCAAAACCACGTTCCTCATCTGCTGAATCTTAGTCAGTGAGCTCTTTGCTTTCTGTGTGGGCTCGATATATTATGCCATCAACAGTTTCATTATCATAAGCAGTATTCAAAGCTTCCTGATGGCTAATTCCACAAACAAAATGTAAGTACAGCTAAAAATGTTAGCTTCTGCCCAGGCCCATATGCCATATGGGACAGTAATATTTACAAGAATATAATACATAAACAAACAATTTATGCTCGAATAGGAATATGTTATAATAATATGAGAAAACCCTAAAAACAATTAAATAGTATAGAATAAATTATCTTATAGTTATTATACTTACATAAAGAAATGTAAACAAAACGCCGCGTAATTCTCCTAGGGCTCCATTAAATCATACATGCAGAAAACATGTAAATAGGCGGAATGACGAAAGCTAGCCAGATATCGCGCTACTGGTTCCATCATAGCATAGGGTACCTTTACCCGCTATAATGGTTAATCAAAATCAAAATAAAATATTTTTCATGACAAATTATAAATTTATAAAACCGCTGGCGCAAACAGCTGGCGACTTTGTTATGACGTCAGCAGTGGTTGGAAACAGTTGAAAACCAATATGGCGGCAATTACCCAAAAAGGGGCCGATAAGCACTCCTTAGTAAGTTTATTCTCCTTGATGGTTACCCACCTCCGCAACACAAAAACCTAAAACTGAGGCGTTTTCTCGAGGCCACTTTTTTGAAAATGGTTCAAAACGGGTTTGAAACAGTACATTCTCGCGATAAACCCATGAAGTCACGTCAAAATTGGTTAAAAACGTTTCAAAATACAATCCAATCCACGTTTTCAAACCATTTTCTGGCACCGAGAAATTATGACGTCATGATGACATTACTTAAACCAGTTTTGAAAAATATTTTGAAATATTTGAGACGGAAGAAAACGCCACTGTTTAGTTGTATTCCTTTCAAGAGTTCAGAACACTAGATCTACTCGCTCGGGTGTTAGTCGACCCCGATTTGAAAGGAACAGATGCGCTAGATTTCGAGCATTTAAATGGTTTAATTCGGGCTTGGGCGCTTCAGGTGTAACCAATGAACTATAACCAAAAACTGGAATGCTAACACATAAGGACGAACTTGAAGCCTATCGCGGCTGCTGCGGAGGGGATACCTGTTTTTGTCGCACTCATTATGTTAAATGGCGAAAATTGCTTCCAACACGTATTCCAATTGATGAAACCTGTGAAGGGAAATATGACAAAACTTTCGAAAACGTCATATGTCAGCGAGCAACAAAAAAACAACATTCCCCCTTGTGGCATCTGTCTTTCATGGCTTCATTTTTTTGGCAGATATGGCAATAGTTGTATTCCTTTCAAGGGTTTGAAACACTCGAGCTACTCGCTCCGGTGTTCAGTCGCCCCCAATTTGCAGGGAACAGATACGTGGTTCAACAAACACTTTTCGAAAGGAATAGGGGCGTGAAGCCTCGGAGCTGTTCCGGAGCTCCTCCTAGGTGTGAAAGGAATACAACTACTGTGTGCGCATTCCAGTTTTTAGCTATAGTCACAGTAGTTCATTAGTTGTATTCCTTTCACACCTAGGAGGAGCTCCGGAACAGCTCCGGGGCTTCACGCCCCTATTCCTTTCGAAAAGTGTTTGTTGCACCACGCATCTGTTCCCTGCAAATTGGGGGCTCCTGAACACCGGAGCGAGTAGCTCGAGTGTTTCAAACTCTTGAAAGAAATACAACTAATGGGTGCAACCAACACTTTTCGAAAGGAATAAGCGCGTAAAGCCCCGGAGCTGTTCCGGAGCTCTTTCTAGGTGTGAAAGGAATACAACTTAGCTGCTTTCCAGAGCTGCTTTCCAGTGCCTAAATTGTTAGAGTGTGACGCTCCTGGAATGTGACGCACTTGAACTGTTCCACA